TAATGAAACAGAATGAGCAGTAGTTCAAAAAGAGAAGCACGTGATAACCATCACCCTCCTGTGTAGTGGCCGTATGATAGGGGAGACCTAACTAGTGGGTTGGTTAAGACTAAACTAAGGAAAAAAATCAGGGAGGAAAAAAAATCAAATAAATAAATAAACAAATCTTGGATGTGACTGAAGACCACATGTTAATGATAAAGATTAATATTAATATTAAAGTTGTTCAGGGTGGATTTTCTTTCTTTAAGGATGAATAGTTGTACCACTATCACTCTGTGAATTTTTCATACAGTTCTACACCTATTAGGAACCTGAAATTTTTTTATGCCTTTGCCACTGAGTGGTGGAGGCATTATGTTTTCTGGTTGTCTGACCGTCTGTCTGAGGTTATTGCTAGCATGATATCTCAAGAACAAGTGGTTGAATGTCTGTAGGGTTTGTATGTTATTATGGTTGTAACCACCAGATGAACTAGATTTTGGAATTGATCTAAATAGGGTCAAGCTCACAGCAAGGTCAAATGTTAGGTCAAATAATTTTTTTTCAGTAGATTCCTTCATGTTTGAAGTATATTTTAAGAGTATATTCTGGCATACAAATTAGTAACAATAAGGACTAGACATGTTGGTGGCAGACTCACGTCCCCATAGTCATATTGTTCATCTGTCCAGAGGACGAGAGTGATGAAGAACACGAGAGTTCTGACCACAGAGAGCTGGAGGACTGCAGCCATCATCCATCCCAGACTTGTCCTGTAGCACAGGGGGTGATGTTACAGCAAGATAGCTTTATTAAATATTTAGATAAAGCCTTTAAAATGTAACCCAGATAGCTCAAAATCATATAGTTAAAGGCACTGCAAAATGAGCATGTGGATGTGTCCCCCTTTACTTGTTAATGTTGATGAGGGGCAAACAGCAGCAGCAACAGCAGGGAAAAGGGTCGGGAGAAACCTTTTCCCCTGTCAGCACCTCAAACATTCGGGCCTTCCCTCCAAAGAAGTCTTCAATAAGACCCATGAACTTCAACAGAGTAATGGAGTGATATCTTTAAGACAAAATGAGTATACTTTTGAGCAATTTATGAGTATTCATTGTTTATTCACAGAATCATGCAACGATACATTTCTGATGATTTCACATTAATACAGACGAAAGTACAGTAGAATTTAAAAAGTCACTTACAAAGAAGCTATGAAATTGCACAATGAGGAGGACCGAGGTACGTATAGTGCAATGATGGAGGTCATTCCAAAGACCTGATGTGAAAGGATAGCAATAACCAAACTAATATCATCAAACTTCCAATGATATCATATTACAAAACCATCTACTGACTGATGGTGACCCATCACAGCTGTTGTTTTACCGGATACATGCCCAGGATCCATAGGCTGAGGCGCCTGCGTCTGGACGAAGGCACGTGGCGGAGGAAGAAGCCAACCTCCTCCAGAAACAGAGCCAGGAGCAGGACAGCCAGCACGGCCGGGACGAGGTACAACCACAGCTCGTTCTTAATAACTTCATGCAGAGAAAATATTAACAAGATCATTAAATTATGAACAAAACTGTATTATTTAGAAAACCAGTACGGCCAGAAAACACACAGGTAAATACTATTCAAATCAAGATTATGACAAAGATTATGTAATGTTTGGCATTTTCATTATAAAACAACAAAACCGCTTGTAGCCATTAGGGGATACTTGAAGACATTTCTACAATACACAATATGTCATGATATATAGGTTTTCTAACAAAATAAGTTTGAGTTGAGTTTGTTTACAAAAAAATAAATGTCTTAAAACTGAAATGTGGAAACAAATTCTACTTCAATTTTATATAATAATAAAAACAACCACTCTTTACAACTGTGGTGAGAAGAATAGCATCTCAGGATGGGCTACAACAGCAGTAGACCACATCAGGTTCCACTCCTTTTAGCCAAGAACAGTAACCTGAGGCTACAGTGGGCACAGACTCACCCAAACTGAACAGTTCAAGATTGGAAAAACATTCCCTGGTCTTTTCCCAGTCTTCAACTGTCCAGTTTCGGTGAGCCTGTGCCTACTGTAGCCTCAGATTACTGTTCTTGGCTAACAGGACTGGGACCTGATGCGGTCTACTGCTGTTGTAGCCCATCTGCCTCAAGCTTTGGTGTGTGGTGCATTCTGAGATACTTTTCTGCTCACCACTGCTGTAAAAAGTGTGTAACTGAGCATTGAAAATTCATTCATACTGTACATGGTAGTATGTAGTCAGATGTGCTTGTGCTTAATCAATTGCTATACAAACAATACTTTGAAAGTGTTAGAAGTAGCTGTTAAACATCTGAAATCTAGTCATTTATATCAGTGTAACTATTTTGATCAAAATGAAAGAGATAGTTTATACAAAGCTTATACAGAAAAGAACATAAGGAAAGCTTACGGGGAAAAAACGTGACAGGATGTGCTGTTATAGAAAATTAATCAACTATGGGGTGGTGTGATGTGGCCCAATGCAAATTTAACATCTGCAAAAAAAGTTAGTTTCTGTTATCTCTTATGTTTTAACATTTCGATATAGTTGTTCTCTCAACAGCTTCTCTCTTTTTCTCTTGATAATAAAACAAAAAACTATGCAGCTTGTTAAAATGCAGTCATGCTAACGAGAAACCTCAGTCCTTTGTCCTAAGGTCTGGCCCATGGTGGAAAACATTAAGGACCAGATTTACCCCAGAATGTTACAAAGTGCTGACATTGGAGACTCCTTACAGAAAGCCTCACAATTTCAGCAATTACACATGTTTTATTTTCAGTCTGTTTATGTGGTGTGTGTACTATACAAGTCCCTGTGAATGAGCTGTTACTATAGAAATGATAACGCATTAGAACGAGCGCATTAATATAAACTGGAAGAGGGCTACTGTCAGATCCGCTGTTATAGAAAATTAATCAACACCTTCTGAATCCATAATACAACAGAGCTGTGGTATAAAGTGGGATAACATAAATAATGTGACATAACAGCAACATATTCTTTCCATTGTAACATAAATATCACATTAATCTAAAGCCTTACTGTTTGGGAACAGTGACCAAATCAGCCAAATGCAAATGTAGAAAAAGTTTTTTAGAAATATGCTATTTATATCATTTTAGCTATATTAATGGATGCTTGAAAAAATTCTTTTCTTAAACACAATTTCAGCCATACATAATCCAGATGCTCCATCATACATTTACAGATTGCTAAAGCACTGTATTGCAGATAAAACAAGGCTGAAGTGCTACGCTGGAGCGTTGAGTTGTGTTTCCTACCTTTAAAGAACTCTGATGAAAGTGGGATCTCAGCACCCATCAGGCTGCAGTTGTCTACTTTCCTGGTCATTGCTCTGATCTCAGGAAACCAGCAGCTCTGTAACAGGATTTGGGCCTTTTTTTTTTCTTTTCTTTTCTTTTTAACTTGGCTCAGACTAATTTAAGAAAAGAAAAGAAAAGAAAAGAAAAAAAAAACAGCAGCAAAAGATGGCCAGTGAGTTGGATCTGCTCTGTGCTAAGGAAGTTCCTGATTGTCTTCCTGATCTCAGAAATTAATGATTGACAAATACAGGTGGAGTTACAGGTAAGGGGCCAAGTCCATCCACTTGCATGCAGACTGTTTCCAGTACAGAGTTCTTAATATTCATGCTTGACAGGACTGAAACGGATAAGCAAATAATGACACTAAATGAACTATTTGCATTGATCTCTAATATGGATCTGTAATATATGGAAGGTGACATTCTTAGATTCTCTCTCTCTCTCTCTCTCTCTCTCTCTCTCTCTCTCTCTCTCTCTCTCTCTCTCGCTCTCTTTCAAAGGAACAACTTTGGATAAATCATCATCTTATATAAAGCTGGGAAATTTATCTAATATTTACTGATTATTTAATAAATTGCAATGGGCCATGTGACAACATAACATTTCATACATTTAAAATTCAGCATTATGTAAAGTGTTTGGCACAACAACAAAATGAAATCCTTCATACAAACCAAAATATAAAATGAAGAACAATTATTAAATATTGAATTATGGAGATTTAATGAAAATAAATAAATAAATAAAAATGTGACTGTGTGAATGTATCAAATAAAAACATAACGAATAAAATACATAGAATGCATTAAAATGACTTATTATCAGCCATCATATCATTAGATCATATCATCATATCATTATATTTATCATTCAGGCCAGTGCGTGTAGATGAGGAATTTGTCATTCTGTAATGACGAGACATTTATTTTGAAATGCAGCTCTTAGCAAGTAGAGGACCTCAAATTCACTAAAAGTGCAATAAGAGTCATTTGAGATGTAGCTAGTAGGCGTATAAGGAAGTAAACATGTGGGAATTAAAGCTGGTGGGCTAAAGTAGATAGCAAGACCGTCGTGTTTGGTTATGACAGGATATTAGGATATTTATTTCCGTGAATATGGAGTGTGTCCTCAGCTGACTCGTGTTACACTGCCTCTGTCCTGCCTTAGAGTCATGGAGTCTCTCTACAGGAGATTTGACTCGTATGACTTTAACAGCGATGCTCGATTCCAAGAAGGGCTGAAGAAAGTAAACACAGCAGCATCTAAAGAAGATCTGCTGAACCTGAAGATCTTCTTTTATAACAGGTGAATGTGCTGAAGCCTCCGGGTTCTTTTTGTTTGTTTGTTTGTTTTTTGTTTTTTGTTCAATAATAGTAACATCTACAAAATATTGTGTAAATCAGATATAACACAAGAAGGGGATGGACAAGGAGCAAAAAATAATTAGTGGAGCATTTTTAGGTTTCTGAATGAGTTCAGTACGAAATAATGTGTGGTTAAATTTCAAAAGTCGAATATGTTCAAATTATTAAATATTTAGATAGATATTTGTGATTTGCAGTACTGACCTGACTGGTATCCATGTTGTCAAAACAATTCGAAAAAATATTGACGTGTATACAAATTTAAATAGAAAGAAAATATTGATGGGGGGAGCATGGTGGCTTAGTGGTCAGCACACTCGCCTCACACCACCAGGGTTGGGGGTTCGAATCCCGCCTCTGCTCTGTGTGCACGGAGCCTGCATGCTTTCTCCCTGTGCCATGGGGGCTCTCTCCAGGCATTCCAGTTTCCTCCCCAGTCCAAAGACATGCGTTGTAGGCTGATTGGCATTTCCAAATTGTCTGGAGAGTGTGTGTGCGTGTGATTGTGCCCTGTGATGGGTTGGTACCCTGTCCCGGGTGTCCCCTGCCTTGTCCCCCGGGATAGTCTCCAGGCTCCCCGTGACCCTGTGTAGGATAAGCAGTAGAAAAAATGGATAGAAAATTGACTGAGCAGGACAACAATGAAGACAAATTTAAAAAAGTTATTCACAATAACAAAGAGCTGCATATGTATTTTAATACAACTTTTTAAATACAACTGTTGTGTATTATTGAGTGAATATTGGTTATTGCAGATTTGTACTGTTTTGGGTTTTTATCTATTTTAGTATTTGCCTGTTTTGTATTTCTAAAGTCATCAGGGTTTTGGCTGTATTTTGTGTGTGTGTGTGTGTGTGTATTTCTTTAATTAACTTCCTTTTGTGCTTAATTTAATGTGTTTAATGTTTGGTGTGTGTGAGTCATTTTTTTCTATTGCTCTGTGTATAAGTTTTGAATCTGATTCTGTTTAGTTTGTCTGTAAAGGAGTGTTTGTGTTCATTAGACCAGAGCCATCACCCAGATTTTGCAGACTTCTGGTCACAATAATTCGGTAGCTAAATAGCTGCTTCTTTGGGTATAGAATTTGCAGTTGCATAGAGGGCTCTGAGTGCTTTTACTATTGCATTTTCTGTCAGATGAAAAAACCTTTTTTTTCTTGATTTCAAAAAATATAAAGCAGGTTTTGTTAAAGCAAATGCTCATGTTTGGCAGTGTTGGTGCAGGGTATTGAAGCTGTAATGTAATCATTTTGCTGTGAAAGACAGCAGCACTAATTCATCCACAGAAAGCAGGAACTTAAAGTTAATATCATAAAGATACTTCCAGCATTAAGACTTGCTCATCAGACAAATTCTGTTCATTTCTCTGCACATTGGTGGTTAAGGAACAGGGGTTTAAGGACACCAAAGACTGGAAAAGTTTGAGCACGATTACATCATGCCAGGCTAAGTTAAAGGCTTTTTAAAAATCTACAAAGTAAAGTTAAAAGATGTTTATTAAACTGCAGAAAATCTTTGTAATTTTGGGTCTGTCACTACGTCCAGATGTTATGGAAATAAGAAGCAAAATTTAAAAGGATAATGTGAAGAGAAAAGCCTCCTGCATGTTTTTAACCAAATGATTACTTTTTTCATTCCAGATTTGTCGAACCAATTCACCTGAGTGGTTACCAGGAGTGGTGTGCTCTGCCAGATAGATCACACCAGGTTGCTGACGAGATGAGCAGAGTTCAAGGTGACTTTGGCACAAGTGACTCTGAGAAAGTGATTCTTCCACGGACAGACATGGAGGCCGAGACAGCACAGAACGTCCAACTCTCTTTTGCAGAAGTGTTTCGAATGATTCAAGCAGGAGAAGAGATTCCTGGACTCGTAAAGCTGGACATCAAACCTTGTAACCAACCTCCCACATCATCTCATATGACAAGGAAGTTAAAACCTTGGGAGAAGTAGCTAAAGCAGAATCACGGAATAATGAACTGAGTGATAAAACATTGGCAAAGAAAAATGATGTTTGCCTTTCCTAGCCATGTGTGCTTTGTGTTAATTGAATGTAAATATTAAGTAATAAAAGTTTAATTGTAAAACTCTTCTTTAGCAATTAACAAGATATATCATAAGTGATAACTTCTATATTATTCTATAATTCTGTTCTAATTCTATATATCTATATTGTATGGCTGTTCATTGACCCAGATCACTTTTTGAAGATCAGTATCACTTCTGTGTTTGTCTGAATTTTATTGTTCTTTGGTTAACAAATGCATTCTAAGATCCCTTTTCCCAGCTTTCTTCTGGATTTCAAAGCTTTCCATAGTAAAGGATAAAAACGAGCTTTCCATGTATCATGCATTGGAACCATGCTTGTAGGATTTTTGTTGGTGGTGCTCTTGAAATGAGGACCTGGGTGATGGGGAGTAGGTTGGTGTATTGACAGAGAGAGAGAGAGAGAGAGAGAGAGAGAAATGCATGAAGACTGAGACTGAGAAACTATTTCAGATTGAAGTTACACCCTTTTCTCTGTTAGTTTTTTGAAAAGCTGAGAAAAGAAATGTATAGGTTGGGTAAGCACAACACAGTGGTGAGAATGTGATAGAATCTCTACCATACCATTGTTACATGTATCATCCTTGCTTCAAATTTGATAATCAGTGCCAGTATTAAGATGAAAAATTAGAAAATATTAATAGTACTGTATGTCTCATCGATAGCTGCACACTCCCTTACACTAATCACAAAGGCTTTTTATGTCTAAATTTTGTTAAGAGACCATATAAAGTTGGGTGGACTCAACACTGACCAGTAATCATTACTACAGCTATTGTTGTTGTTCCTTAAGCAGTTTTGTCAGCAGTAGCTACCATGATACATCTCTGATTATTGTGTCATTAGAGTTTTACTGCCGGTATGTGATAGTGTGGTGAACATAGCATAGCATATTGTATGACTAGCATATTGTATGACTTGCCTGTCCTCTGCTGCCAGAGGTTTTCTGTAGATCAGGAGCACAGGATGGTAGGCGATGTCTCAGTTTCAGTTTATATTTCTGGTCTTAAATACTGCTGGTCTGCAAAGAACAAATCCAAATTAGGAGGTGAAGCAAATAGAGTAGTGCTATTTGCATACTGTATGGTCAGAGAAAATCTTGGACTTCATATAAATACATCATCATCAAACTAACAAATTTATCTTGTCATCAGCAAAGATTTAGCATACAAATGATGCATGCAGTGTCTTCACCGGCTTGCCCTTTTCCTGCCGGAGTTCCCAGGTGTGTTCAATCTGCTCAGCACTGGAGGGGGTGATGCTCGATTCTGCAGCTACTAGTGTTCCCTGCTGACTAGCTGATTCTCTGAAGGAGGCATGGAAGAATGGTGCCATCTCTGAGGTGCCAGTTTTGCCAAGATTTTCTTGGCATGGCTTCCCATTTGAGAGAAATGCAGCAATTAAAGACAAACTGATAGCCAGTAAAGATAAATACATATGTAGAGAATAACCAGACAGGCTTCAAACATTCATTAGTGTTTCTTTAGACCAAGACAATTATAGTTATTATAGTATAGTATGTTAAATATAGATACTATATGCTAAATAAAATTACCAGAATACTAAACTCCTGAGTTCATAATGCTTCAGCAAAAAAAAAAAAAATAATAATAATAAAAATACATGTATGTATACTTTGGTGTTACCCAAAACATCTTTTAAATGGCAAAATTATTTTCATAGTTGAATAAAATTACTTGAAGCGGCTGTTCAAAAAAAAAAAAAGTAAACCAAGAAAAAAATGGTACAGAAGCATCCACACTTGTCCCCAACCCTCAAGAAATCCAGATTTTATAAATATACTGTTTGGACTTGATTCCAGCTGTCTTGACCTGACAAATCCTTAAATATTAAAAGGGCTAAGATAGACACCGTTCCATCTTGGGAGATTCAACATTTGAAGTTTTCCACATTGACCTGAATTAAATTTAGAACATCGACTTAGCTCTTTTACAAAATGGCAGCACATGGTGCAGCGTTTGGATGAATTAAGGGTGAATTAAGGTAAAAAAATTCACAGCAGAATAAATAAAATTTAACTCTTTAAAATGTAGGTCTTGAAAATGCATGTTTAAAACAATAACGCAGTGCATTTGTCACCACCTTATAAATAAGTTATTGTGAAAGGGTTTCAAGAATCCTGAATTTGGGTTCAGTTTCTGGTCAATCTGATTGAACTCCATAGCTCTAGCTCTAGTATGAGAGTGGGTTTACTGTACATATAATCTGATCTAACCTCCAGTGTGGATGTGAGCACTCTGAGGGTCTGGGATGAACCTGCTTCCTGCAGGTCTAGAGGCAGCTCACTGGGCATGGTGCCAAGACTGCCCACTTGCCATCTGATCTGCTCAAAAGTGCCTGCACAACCCACATTAGCACACAATGATCTTTGCCACTGAAATGCTGAAGAATTTAATGTATGGAGATAATGTTTGCCAAACATTTCAAATAAATAATAAAATCCACAAGCAAAATGATCAAAATGTGTCTGATGAGTCCAAACTGCTGACTCCTTAAGTACTTATGAGGAGATGATGGAGAGTAAGAAGCCACAGGGAAAGCTGTATGTGGTGGTCTGGAACACAAGATTGGACCAGGAATAGACTGCACCTGGAAAACCTGAAATGGATCACAAGTACACATACACAATACACACAGAAAGAATAAACACACAAACACAAGGAACACAGACGAGACCATAACAACTGATAAAACTCTATTTTATTTTATTTATTCTAATTGAAGATCTTTCTTCTTCATGTACCCTAATTTGTAAATTGATATGTCAGTGTCAATGTCACCATCCACTTTATTAGGAACACCTGTACACCTGCAAATTCATGCAGTTATCTAATCAGCCAATCATGTGGCAGCAGCACAATGCATAGAAAGCAGAAGCAGCACAGACCTTCCAAAATAACAATGTATGCATACCATCTCGAATCAACAACTGTGGTGTTTAACTGGCTTGTTTTTATAGAGATCTTGCCATGTAATATACTACTGGATCTCACTCTGATAGCAGCATTTGCCCTCTGAACACACAAAATGTTTTATAAAAATTTATAATGTATGTTTAAATTATTATTATTATTATTATTATTAGTAGTAGTAGTAGTAGTAGTAGTAGTAGTGTTACAATAATAATAATTATTATTATTATTATTAATATTATTAGTAGTACTAGTAGTAGTAGTAGTAGTAGTAGTAGTGTTACAATAATAATAATAATAATTATTATTATTATTATTAGTAGTAGTAGTAGTAGTAGTAGTAGTAGTGTTACAATAATAATAATAATTATTATTATTATTATTA